AGAATATTCTGATGCACACAGTTGATCATGAAAATGATTCAGAAGAAACATACGTTCTTTCTCATTAACTCATTTCAACTCTTCAAAAACAACTTGATCGTTTTTTAAAAACATGCAACTTTGCTGTCAACGATATGCTCCTTAATATATGTCTCATGTCAATTTCATATCCAAGTCTCAAATCGATATCCACCTGGCATCTGGGCATAAGTATTTATTGTATGAAATCTAAAAATGGGTATCAATGTCCCGTTAATGCTACCAAAGCCTTCCCTGAATCAATAAGTTCATTCTACCAATCATCGCAACAGTGAAAAATCAAGTAAGCGTCATAATATCCCAATCATCGTCCGGTCCAATCTCCAGATTCCGCCTCTGGTTCCCCGATGAGCGCTTCAAGACCTCTTGCAGTAACGTCTTCTCCTAGTCGATGTAGCGTCTCCAGCCATTCGCAACAAGACATTTCTTCCCTTTGTCATCAACCCCCATGACAAAGCGCTCCCACCGAGCGTCTTGCCCAGCGCCAAGAACTAGTACAGTCTGGTCATCCAGCCAACCAATCAATCCTTTCGTAGGCCTACCGCCGGGTACACCGGGAATGCCCGCGCTCAGGGTAGCAGATTTGCCGTGTGGGCCCCAAGATGTAGGCTCATCTCCCATTTCGAACTTGGCCGTGGCGGTGGGATATGTGTCGGAGAATTGCCGGGGTAAAAGCGGAATTTTGGACAGTATGCCGTACTTGTGCTGCGCTGGATCGGCTTGCGCCGCGGCGGTTGCTGTCTTGAGATCGTAGATGTGCAGTGTAGATTTGTCTGAGGTTACAGCGAGCGTCGAGCCGTCTGGAGAGAATGCAAGAGAAAACACAGCAGCAGGATCGACGCCGCGGCGAAGTTCTGCTAGTTTAGTGCAGGATGGGAATGACCAGAGACGTATAATGGTGCCCTGCTCACTGGCGGTTGCTATGAGATCACAACTTCTGCTTATGCCGATCGCGCGTAGTGGGCTCTCGTGGGCGGGGATGATGCTGACGTTGCCCGTGTTCAGATCGTATATCTTGACTTGTCCAGCGGCTCTACCGGGGAACGCGACAATATTCGACCCCAGCTCCAATAACCCAAACGGATTGTTGACCGTCTCATACTCGGCCGTCTTGACTGGAGGTACTTTCATCTTATATATGCATACCGAATTCAGCAGCGCAACGACCATGTGCGTCTGCGACAGGCGCACACGCTGGATGGGCGTCTTGAACTCGACCGACGTGGTAAAACGCTCTGTTTTGTCATTCCAGATTTGAACCTTGTAGATTATGTCAGTTTTGTCGACCCAAATCCAGTCGGAGTCCTCGGGACGCACCTTGTTCTGGGGATACTTGGGTTGCTTCCCTCCTCCGACCAGGGCAATGTAGCTCTTGTTGCCGAGCATCTCTGCGCAGCCGATGCCGCCACCGACCTCTGCGGGAATGTCAGCACATGGACATATGTGCAAGCGTGTTGAAAGTACCTCTTGCTATCCTTTCCTCACATGTTGTTGACGAAAAGACTGCAACCGTCAGTAGGTATTGGTGAACTTGGACAAGAGTGTCGTCATACCGCGGAATCCCGTCTCAAGAGCGACCGAGAAGTGAGAGCAGTCGGCGTTGAACGAGGCTGAGAGAACAAACGGGCCTGTGTCCGAGTCGAGGATAGGTCTGGTATTCATGGTCCGTCGTCGGTATAGAGTAACTCGGCTATGCGTTGTTTCAAACACAAGGTGGGGTGGGCGGGCGGCGTCTTCTTGGATGCGGGAGTCGATGTTTTAATCAGCGCAGAGACTGCAAGTGCAAGGAGCTCCGTGACATGCTAGGCCATAGTGTTGCCAGTAGCGACTGAGGCAGCATATGTATGAACAGCGTAGAGTGGGTAGGCGACGACGACATCGAGGGTCCAGGGCTCCAAGGTCACAGCTCACCTTGTCATCTGCATCCACCTAATAAGCCTGGCTTTCCCCGTAATGCGGGAGCTAGCCGATTCTGGCAAGCGTGACTGGCGGGACGCAGGACATGTGTACGGAATGCTCCCTGGGTCCTATACATACTACTGTACGGTTAGGAGAGCCAAATAACTCAAACGTCAGATATGATGGAACTGTTTCATCATGCCATTGTAGAGTGCCGTGACTTGCGGGTCCCCGTCAAAAGCAAGTATACAACATGTTCGTCAAAGGTCGGGATTCAGCACGCGTCGAGGCCGATAGGGCATCCTTATCAGCAGCCAGCAAAGTGCACAACCAAAGGGAGAGACGGGTATCGAGACAAGTACGAAGATAGCAGTATCATTTTTCGCCCTATATGGCCGTTTCACTGCATCTTTCAGCATACACGACAAGTGACAACCTTCTCGTGTTGCACATCGTTCCCAAAGTAGTCGGGCCAGGTGGTTGCGCCAAGAAGGAGACACCGACCAGGGTGTTTCCCGCTAGCGAGCCCCTTTGCATCGCGCAGGGAGTAGCTGCCAATGTCCCCAAATTTCCACGACGACACCGCTCCAACACACCAGACAGTCTTCATCCTCTATCTCTCCGTACTCTCTCGCCCGCAATCTCTCGCCCTCTTCCGGCAGACTCCATTGTGTGCACACGACTCCATCCAAGACAGCCCACATCAACCCTTCACAGCCCATCATGTCTTCGGTACGCTGCTCCTCCCCACGACACCACATCTGCGCCCATCGGGCACACGCCCGCTACCCTGCCCTCTGCACATGACCCTGTCATCAATTCCAGTCACTAACAATGCATCAGGCGCTTAACAAGACGCGCAGAAAGAAGAATGTCAAGAAGGGAATCCAGTTCTGCCTGATGGTTTGCGGTGCCTCAGGTACTGGCCGGACAACCTTTGTCAACACGCTCTGCGGCAACCAGGTGCTTGGACACAAGGAGGTGGATGACCCTACAACTGCCCACGTTGAGGAGGGCGTCAAAATCAAGCCCATCACTGTCGGTAAGTTTGTTTATTGGCGGTGGACACGGCCATCACGCCATGAGGCAGCTACTGACAATGGCCAGAACTTGATGAGGAAGGTACCCGCATCTCGCTCACAATTGTCGACACCCCTGGATTTGGAGACCAGATTGACAACGAGGCTAGGTAAGGACCTTGCAGCAACCGTTACAACACCGACTTACCTCTATGCAGTTTCTCAGAGATTGTCGGATACCTTGAGCGACAGTACGATGGCATTCTCGCCGAAGAGTCGCGTATCAAGCGTAACCCACGCTTCCGTGACGACCGTGTACACGTACTGCTGTACTTCATCACGCCTACTGGTCATGGGTATGTGCTCCCCATATGAGTTAGGGTTCTACTAACACAAACCCCTAGTCTCCGTGAACTCGACATTGAGCTCATGAAGCGCCTTTCCCCCCGCTGCAACGTCATCCCTGTGATCGGTAAGGCCGACTCACTCACACCCGCTGAGCTCGCCGAGTCGAAAAAGCTCGTCATGGAGGATATTGAGCACTACCGCATCCCTGTATACAACTTCCCTTACGATGTTGAAGAAGACGACGAGGACACGGTTGAGGAGAACGCCGAGCTCCGTGGCTTGATGCCCTTTGCCATTGTTGGATCCGAGGACATTGTTGAGGTGAACGGTCGACGGGTACGAGCACGACAGTACCCCTGGGGTATTGTAGAGGTGGATAACCCCCGCCACTCGGACTTCCTTGCCGTGCGAAGCGCGCTTCTGCACAGCCATCTCGCTGATCTCAAGGAAATCACGCACGACTTCCTGTATGAGAACTACCGTACTGAGAAGCTTAGCAAGAGCGTTGAGGGTGGTGCTGCTTCGTAAGTTTTTGAGCCATGATGTGATTTGGAATGGAATGCTAACAGAGCATAGTAACGACTCGTCAATGAACCCCGAGGACCTTGCCAGTCAGTCAGTGCGTCTGAAGGAGGAGCAACTGCGCCGCGAGGAGGAGAAGCTGCGCGAGATTGAAGTCAAGGTACAACGCGAGATCAACGAGAAGCGACAGGAGCTCCTGGCACGCGAGAGCCAACTGAAAGAGATTGAGGCGCGCATGCACCGGGAACAGAGTGGTATGGCGCATGACGACGCGGACGATGCTTAAGCGTGTCCAAGTGGCATGCGTTACGCCCGGCTCCGCCTTTGCATCAGCTCTGATGTTGGGCATCAGCGTTCCGCGCGCTTGGACGGGCAAAAAAAGAAGTGCCAGAGACGGACCACAAGAGACGGTTGACTGACCCAGCATCGGTGGCGTTTTTTTTTTGCAAATGGAGGAGGGATTTTCTTGGGATGCGCCGACACTGAGAAAGGACGGGGTCGAAACGTCGGACTTCACTTCTTCTTTTAGTCTGGGGGCCTTTGATTATTTTAACGGACAGTGTTTTTGCCATTGGATGTGGTCTGCGGCTACACGGTCCCCCAAACATGACACCGCTTCTCGTATGTTTACTTAGCCTTTTTCGATACTTATTCCCCCCGCCTTTTGGTTCCTTCATGTAGGAGGTAGTAATTCACATTCTAATATCACTCTGATCGCTGATGGTGCCTTTTTTTTGCGTGTATTGAGTCGAGTGGCTGGGGGTGTGTGTATGTGTGTGTATACGTGTACATATGCAAGCTCTTTTGCTTTTTAGGTGGTGCATAGGTCGCAGTCAGTCCGTCCGTCAGTCAGTCAGTCAGCACGCAGATGGGAGAGTCGTGTGTTGTATGTAGACAAGTCCATTGTCTGGCGAATAGGAGGCATTTATAGCGCGGTGCATGAGCCTAATGCAGTTGCATGTTCTGGACACTCGTGTTTTCCCAATAGCTACCTTGTGCACGCAAGGGAAAATGGTGTCATTTCTTCACGGCGTAATACTCCTCACCGCCCTAGACTACCTTTGTCCAACCTTTGTCCCAAACTGGTATGTACACTCGTCTCTGGAAACGGCGAATACCGTAACTCCGTCGGCAAGCTTCGGGTTATGTTTGTTAATTTACATGTAGATCTTTTTGGCATCACATTGTCCGTCCTCGAGCGGCACTACGCGGATAAATTGTTCGGCATCCAGAGCTACATAGACGGGTCAGGGATTAAGCCAGGTTATTTGTGTGAGACCTCGGTCCTTCATTGTGAAAGAGAGCGTGTACATACATGCCAAGCACAGTGTTATCTGTACACCCATACATGGACTTACATGCCTTTTTTGCTTTTGCACAGCCTGGCGCAGGTAGAGGCGTCGGTCACAGTAATGTATAACGTGAGCTTTAAAAAACCGTTACCACCGAGGTCTCCAAAGGGAAAAGCCATGTACCTTGAATAGCGCTGGCTCGGCTTGAACCTTGGGCACAAGATGTGTATAGTGATAGAGAGAGAGAATGTAGACTGCACCCCGCTTCTCCATGTGGCGACTGTTGAGGTGCCGACAAGGGCTTTCTCAGCCACCATGCGACCAAGAAGAGGGGGTATGGCAGGCTGAGTACATGGTTGCACTGGTAGTCCGTCAAGACCATTGCTACCTGATCGAGAGGCTGCTGGTAGATCGCGATGACGAGCAAAACACGAAGCCAGTATGCTGCAGTCAGCTACAGACCACGCTGCCCAGCTTCCTGCTCAACACAGGCGAGTTTTCCGCATCGGTGAAGTACTGCACGTCATGATGCCGGTACGTAGCGACCCGTCTCACTGTAATTATCGGTGTACTCTCCAGATTCCCATGTAACGTTTGATTCTGCATCACTGAATAGTTGTTATAGAGACTGCCGGCCATGATATGACACTGGGCATCCAGCTTGCAGCGCAACATGGGCTTGTAGCCCTATCTGGTAACGTCCGTAGGTCTACCGCCACGCTCATAACAAGGGCGAAAATCGCCAGTTACTGAACTTCGGACCTGGTCTAGTATGGGCAGACGTGATTGGACATGTCAGCAAATGCAGGGCCCCCCAACTGCCGATGTCTTTGGTGCCTCGACTTAGACTCCCAGGAATTGTGCCCAATATTCCTCGACGACCAGGTTTACTTGGAGGCCGTCCCGGACTCGACGATCGGGTATTGGAGATGGCAGATGGGATAGACGGCGGCACAGGGGCCCCTGGTTCGTGCTATTCCAAGAGCGAGGTGGGATTAACCGAGTATCCGTGGTCGATAGGAAGCATGCCGATGGGTGGCGATTAGGCGGTTTGGGCCTCAAGACACAGGTGTCTCTGGGGCAAAAGAAATTGATAATGCCATGTTGCAATGACATACAAAGAAATATGGGCCTAGCGATTTGTGAAGTCGCAGCATCGGTGAGCGTTTCGGCATGCAAGTTGGTCCACTCACACCGCAGTGCAGCACACACCAACGCCCGGTCCGCTATCAGCTACGTAGGTATGTGTATGTATGTATAGTATGTGTGGTTGCAGATTCGGCATACCGACATGTGCCGGCAGATGGGGCGCTTAGCAGAGAGCTTATTGCCGTTGAGATGGGCCCGTATATGCGTAGACCAATGTGGTGGCTCTATGGCATTGGCCTGTTTGGTCGCTTAGGGATTATACCCGAGCGGCTGTGCTCGGGACGGAGCCGACGTTGATAGAGGGTGGCCAAGGGGACGGTGAAGGTGGTTGTTCCGTGCTGGGATTGGCAGAGTGGGATGAAGGAGTAGGTTCCGGGTTGGCAATAAAGATGTGAATGGACTGAGTGGGCGAGTCTTTGCAGATGGCAGCAGTGTCTTATGCAGAAGGCCCCATGGGAACGAATCCTTTGTTCCACATTCCCACTCTGTGGCCGACAGAGTGGGTGGACGTGGCAGCGTGCAGCCTAGCTGTATACACGTCAAGGCGTGGGTGGGCCAGGGTGCAGAAGACTCGGTCTGGACGGGTGTCGGGGTGGGAGTGCATAAAAGATGGGTGATGGGGCATGTAGTACACACAGTAGCTAGGAGGGTACATAGTGTGTACATAGGCGATGAAGCGAGGAACCTAGGTTCGTAGATCGGCAGGGCGTCTAGTTCGCTCACGGTGTTGCATGACGCATGCCCTGGCCCCACCTTTTCCCAACGGGCCCACTTGGACGACGTGATCCGGGTGCGGAAGAAGGCGTGAATTATCAGGGTAGCCGCGCCGTGCGCGCCTGCGAGGATTAATATGGCTGGCGACGGTACGCACGGCTGTGGCCTCTTGGCGAGCCGTCTGGTTTTGTCGAGTGCAATCTGTATCTGGGACCGAAGTGGTCGTGTGGTGGTCCAGCGGGGGGCTAGCGAGTCGTCGTCGGCATCATGTGCATGGGCAGCATAAGTGAAGTGGACTTGCACTTGGTTACATACACAGCTATGTAAACTGGGTACGTGCACATACATGTGTACAACGGGTGGGCATTGGTTTTTGTGCTGCATCTGCATCTGCATTTCGATAGATATGTACACATGGGTTTGGGGCGTGTGTAAGTAGAGGTGCGTGTGCATATATGTGCGTCTGCGCGTGCATCAGCCATTCAGACGGCACTGGGTTATGCACACGTACGTAACCTCGGCCTTTGACCTGCACGCCCGGCTGGTGCGGGCCTGGGGGCGAGGGGGAGCGTTGCCAGGAACCGAAGACTAGACAGGCATACGCTCGGATGGGGAAAGCAGAGCCTCCTGCTAGCGACATGTATCTAGGCGCTCTCTGGCAGGCCACTGGACGTTGCAGTCTGTGGCCAAATCGCCTTCACAGCCATGTTATGCAGCACGAGTCCCACCCGCGTGGTTCGGGAGCGCCAGCTCAAGCTGAACCATCTGCCACCCGTCCAGCGTTCAGCGTCCAGCGTCCACACTGTCCATGTCCACACTGGCTACCGCACGTCAGCTCCCCACCCTCGAACTTTTCAGAGCCAGCTGCTCTGCTCAGTGCCCTCACCGGATTGCCCGGCCGCCAACTGAGAACGATGCGCATGTGCAGCTCGGGTGGGGAACGCCACCTGTCGCCTTTGTCGAGTGCGGCCGCGCGAGAGCCGGGACGATATCATCAAGTGCAAACACACACACACATACGCAGCTTTAACTTTGCATGCTCCGTCCCGTGTGCGGGCAATTGGCCTGCCTAGGCTCTGGCTAGCCCGCCTGCCCGTCTCCATTCTCCCCCAAGGCCGCTCCGATGCAGGGTCCCATCCGCCGACAGAGGGCTGCTCGACACCTGGTGGTTAGAGCATTCCCCAGAGCATCTGCATGCATACACACATACGTATGCGTACATATTACACACACACTTAGCCAGTGCCGCATCGAGATGAACGGCCCCGTTTGCCAGGCCCGATAAAAAAACACTCAAGTCACAGATAAGTCTAGACTCGCCAATCGGGTTGCAGATCGGTGGGGGAGGAGGTTAAGCCCACGCCCCCTGCACGCCTGCCCACTAGTACACAGCCACTCATCTCGTACCGAGCTGCAACGCTTCCTCAACGCCATGGACAGTGACGGAAGCAGGGATCCCTCTTCCCCGAATGCTGATTGTTCCCTAGCTGCCTTCGGGGCCTGCTAAATGCCTCTACTACCCAACGCACAGGCACGACCGCTTGACTGTTCTCCAACGCGACTGCGGCGGCAGAGCTAGTAAAATGGAACCTCGGACATGTTCGTCATCAACGCAACATGTTTGCCTGCACCAGGCAGCTGTGGGCAGGTACCACCACGTCCTTACTGGATGCTGCCTCGCCGCCCTCCTTCTTTTCTCTACAAACCTCCTGCCATTGCCACCCTTCATTGGCCATGTCGTAAAGCTTCCTTCTTCTCCTCCTTTGCATCCACATCGAATCACTTCACTCCCCCATCCTCATCCAACGGCTTATTCTGACGCGAGCCCCCCAGCGCCACCCTCGCTCCTTCCCCGAATCCCATCCACTCTTGCCTGTACTTTTCCATTATATACCCGCCTTGACCTTGCCTTCCCTTCTCTTCGATACTGCCCTCCGCAACTCACTCATTCACTCCCACGCTCCCTCCCTCGCTTCTACACATCTAGTCACATCTCTCACACGACACCATGGACCGACCTCAAGTATCCATTCCTCCCGTAGGTCATCTTGTACTACTTACATGTCGCGTGCTCCATATACTAACACGGCAACGCTAGGCTGCGAATGTACTCGGGGTAGGTCATCTGCTCCACCACGCTTGAGTCATGATACTAACCTTTCTTGTCTGCAAATAGACAATCGGAACTGGTGAGTGAACTGCTGTAGCCATCTTGCGACTATGCTGACTTGATGCTAGTGTATGCACATCATGCAATCCAATTTTTGACCGACTTTTGCTAACATGGTTTTCTTGACTGTAGTTGTTGGTGTGTACAGGTATGTAACCAATGAAGCTTTTGACAATGGCAGCAACTAACAACCAACAGATTATCCCACAGTAAGCATCACAATGCCACCAACTCAGCACCAACTAACACAGCCCAGAATATGGCACAACTGGCGACGAAAGAGCACAGAGGGTCTGCCAGGATCCATGCTCATTCTCTGGTCGATATGTAAGCTTACTGGCTACCGATATGCAGGCTTGATACTAACCATTGCAGGTGGCGTCCCATTTGGTGTATACGCCATTGTTCAGGTACGGCTGCAGCCACCAACGCTTGGCGTCTGCTGACATGACTTACTAGAACTTCAACTTTGCGCTCAAATTTCAACCCCAAGCATTCGCCAGTCTCACGCTCATTTCTTGGGGCCAGACACTCTACTACCACAAGTCAGTCTATTCCCCAGAACAAACAACAATGACTAATATTTGATAGCAAATGGCGGGTGTGGACAGCCACCCTTGCGACCATTGCCCTAGCCGCCAGCTTTGGGCTTATGGAGCTGATTCTTATCCTCACTCTGCGTGTAAGCAACCGCAAGCTGCTTCTTGTTGTTCCCAACTGACCAAGTGTTTTCAGGGCCCCTATAGCCGAGGCGTCGAATGGCCCATGATGCTCATGGCCATCTTAGCAACCATCATCCAGGTCGCCGGCCTGATCCCCCCTTTCTTCGAACTTGCAAAGCGCGATGGAAGAGTCATTGGAATCGGTATGGAAGCGGCTAGCCTACCCCGAGGAAGATATTGTGGCTGACGTTCCTAGACTTTTGGTTTCTCACCATCGACTATGCTGGTGCCTTCTTCTCGCTCATGGCTCTTAGTATGTTCACCCCAGTTTCTCCAGAACAACGTGGCTAACAAAGGAAATAGTTGCACAACAATGGTTCGATGTCCTCGGTGGAAGTCTCTACATCTCCTGGTATGTCTTCCGTGTCTCTAGTGTCACAATCATCCACTTCATTCACTAACACCGTTTAGCATGCTACTTGAAACCGGTATCTTTGCTTCGCAAGCCATCTGGCTCTGGCGCGTTCGCCATGTACGCGCCGAAGCCAAGAAGGCTGGAAAGACGTATGACGAATACATCGCCGAGAACCCGAGCAAGAAGCTATTCGCGAGCGAATCCTCCGAAACTTTTGTCGATGTCGAAGCTGGCACCGAGAAGCGATCGGCGAGCACATGCACCGAGAAGACGACTACAAGTCAACATGAGCATATGCAAGCCACACCGAACGACGCAACGGCAACATCGCCAGGGACATCGCCGAAGTCATCACCGGAGTCATCACCGGAGTCATCGCCGACAGCACTACAACAGCCACCAGCTGCTGTCTTAAAGCCCAGCGGGTCTGGTACATCATAATCATTCAAGCTTTGTATTACTTGAACAATCTTTGGGCGGCTACAACTTGGTAATTTTTTTTAAAAACTTTTTTCCTCGGCCAGGAAATAAAACACATAGGCCCAGTGAGTCCAAGAATAGCTTTGGTTATCTTGTTTTCATCTATCTTTCACTTTATTCTGGGTATTTGCAAAGCAAAAAGGATGCACACGACACGTGTACGAACAATACATAATTTCTGGGACTTGGGTGGAGGTATTTTGGCGTTATGACATGGATATTCAGGGTATGATTACAGTGTGGCAGGGCCAAAAAAGTTCATATTGCCTGGGAAAACCTGGAAAAGGGGTAATGGATCAATCAATCAAGCACAAAGCAATGAAATAAAAGTTTAATTTCTCGTCAGTCTGGCTAGACCTTGTTGTTGTCGTGGAGGTTGCAATATGCTTTTGTGCTGACTATATACGTACCACATATGTTGAGAGTTTTTTTTAATTGGAGGGTGTGTTATTGCCATGATGTAGTTAGTATGGAATATACGACAAGGGTATCAGTATGCGTAATGAGCACAAACCAAAGCGGGTTTCCAACATGGCAGCTTTGGAAGCTTTGTCCCAAATATTTTTCGTTCCTTCTTAATTTAGCAACTAATCGTTCGAGCATATCGGCAAGGCAATTCAACAATATTTTCTGTTTCCCACACCATCTGTCTCATTGAGCAAGCTATACATGCATATGTGCATTGCGTGCATTACATGTACTCCACCCACCCGGCCCCTCCTCCATTTACAATACACAGACAAGTACAAGTAAAAGAATCAGAATCCTGGAAAAAACAGTCTGACGTCAGTTCGTGTCCTATACGAGCCAGGTTCATCGTTTTCGTTAATTTTCCTGTGAGGGTTTTCTGCGAAAGCACATGTTCTACGCATGCCCCCCCCCACACACACACTTCTAACGTGACTGGTTGGACGGGGGTGGTATTCATATGCAAGTCATGAGGCGCACCTTGACTTCATTACGCATAACACGAAGATGATGAAAAGACTGGAGAAAAATTTATTCTGATCCCTTGATGGGGGGTGGGCTTGAATCGAGTCGAGTCGAGTCGTCAAGTCGGAGGAACAGGGGGGGGGGGACGCGCGACATGGGTGTAGGGCCGATTGAGGGTGTACGCAATTGCCCTTTTTTCTTGCCTGTGGGGAGTGGGTTGAGTGAGTGAATACGGTGGTTTTGTCAGGAAGGAGAGGCAGGGACGTGCTGAGGGTGGCGGTTACTTGTGAGCGTGGGGTGATTTTGCTTTGTCTGTGCGTTGAGTGAGGGTATGCAGGGTATTGTGGGGGTTGAGGGTGAAAGAAATAGGGGTGTAAATTATACAAATGGGTAGCCCTTATGACAGAGATTTGGTAAGGGGCTTGTTTGAGCAGCTCTGCACAAGTTGGAAGATGAGGTCTTGCGTATCGAGGTTTTGGCGTTTGGTTTATTTATTACCTTTCTCAGCATGTACACAAACTGTGTAGGACGTAACCTCTTCTAGGACTCATCTCCCCAAAACGAGGCATTCAGTGACGACACCGATTTGCGCTAACGTCCCGCTGCTATTGGCATCATGCCATTGTTGGGTGTGTGGGGAAGCTAGAAAAGGGTCGCCGCACAATAGAGAAAAGAGTAGTCAGATGCTCATTCTCTCCCCAGCCCACTTGATCCTCATGAACCATGCATAGATGCTTTCAAGTTTTATCGACGCTCATGTGGGTCTAGATGGTGACCGTACGTGGTAGTAGCTGTGGCAAAGGGGTGCCGTCTCAGGTTAGTCCAGATCACAGGTTGACGTCATTACCGGTGATGTGGACATGAGACATTTTGGTCAGTCGGGAGTCCAATCGTGGGGGACAAGTATTACTAGCAGTAGTTTCCATCAGTTGCCGACATCATACTCAAGATGGCTAGCAGAATCTCCGATTCGGCATGTTTTGCAGGTATACATATTTCAGCCTTGTAGGGTGAGCTGCATCAATAAGTCCATGCCTTTTTTGGGATCCGGTGCACCAATTCAAAGTATGCAACTAGCCTATTCCGACATATTGCCTTCTTGACTTCGGAACGGATGCTCATGATACACACTTGTGGTTCTGATGCACGCTGTTAGCGGGGCAGTAAAAGAGACTTGGTGATCGAGCAAGCATGGAACAGCCAAGCCTGAGCGTAAAGTCCCAGGTGACATGGCCTTTGCAGACGTCTTGGCATCGGGCGACATAGTACATAGTCAGGCATGTCCATATCACCATGTTACTGTAGACCTGAGGTGGTTTGACGTGCTCTGGCCTGGGGATTTGACAATGGGTGAGGGGTGGAAGAAGATGGAACGTCGAGGCAGATTCGGGAATGGGTGGCACGTGAAGCAGAGCTGCGCGTCTGTGTGACCTCATCAAGGCAGCATAGCCCGCGCTACCGCGTCTCACCCCATCCCTCATACCTACCATCTCAACCTACACGTCGATCTTGCGCTTCTGTATCGCAAACCCATCTCGAGCGGCGACAAGTGAAATCACCATGGCCGGACCCAAATACCAGAACGTGCCGCAGCGCGACTCGTTCGACGAGACTGCGCCCGCGCCCTCCTACTCGCAAGCGCCACCCAGCTACCAGGCCACGGAACCCCAGGAAGCGCTTCTGCATGGAGTTCCGCGCAGCGAGGATGACAACCTGCCAGACGACTTCAAGTTTGGTGGAGTAGTGGCAGAGGCGACGCTGGATATTCGAATGGCGTTTATTCGAAAGGTGTATGCCATCTTGTAAGCACTGCCTTAGGCCCCCGAAACACATGTGTCGCATGTATACTGACGGCATACAGGACTGTCCAACTCCTCGCCACGGCCGCTGTAAGCTTCGTGTCCATGACATCGGTGACATACAGAACCTGGATTCAAACACACTCGTGGCCGTTGTGGGTGTCGATGTTTGGCTCCTTCGCCTTCCTGGGACTTACCTATTGGAAACGCAAATCATACCCCACGAACCTCATGTTCCTCGCCGGTTTCACTGCCATGGAGGCATACATGATCTCGGTCATTGTGTCGTTTACTGAGTCCAAGATTGTGCTGCAGGCCGTGTTCTTTACGCTGGGCATCTTTATCGCACTAAGCCTGTTTGCATGCCAGTCCAAGTACGACTTTACAAGCTGGGTGCCGTATCTTTTTGGAGCACTGTGGGTAGTGGTGCTCTTTGGCTTCATGTCGGCCTTTTTCCCGTACAACTCGACTGTGGACCTGGGCTATGGCATCATCTGCGCGCTAATCTTTTCGGGCTACATCCTGGTCGACACGCAGTTGATTATGCGCCACTACCATGTCGAGGAGGAAATCGCTGCGGCTATCTCGCTCTACCTCGACATTATCAACCTCTTCCTCGCGATTCTAAGGATTCTCAACTCGCAGAATCAGAACTAGACTAGGCGTGGAATGGTGAGGGGTGCATGATGGAGGGGGATATCATGTTGGAAGGAGCGCTTGGGGCGCCATGGAAATCGTCTAGGTTGTCCAGACTGCGGGGTTGTTTGCATGTTCTAGGCACAGTGTATACACGTAGCTGGTGTAATATTGATACAGTGATTAGGCAAAGTGATCTGGTTCCAGTGGGTATATGCAAGCATGTATGTACACATTTGTGGTGAACGGCTACTCTACAGGCGGCACTGTCGTGCATCGTGCGCCATGGGGCAATGGCAATGACTCGATTGGGCTGGTCGTTGACATGACGCCCGGCGCGGTCAATACTGGACCATTGCATACGACATGGTTCTATGTGAGGATACATCAGACCATGGCGGGGTAGTCGTCTACGGGGCAGTTTGAATGCGTGGGCCTGTGATTGGCCAGCAGAGGCGTAACAGGAACCCTCGGTTGTTCCGCCGACGAAGCTTTTGCAGGTCGAGGACTTGGCGTGTCCACATTCGCTGGCACTCCGTCCACCACAAATCGACGCCCATGATTTCCCATTGCCGCAGGGGCCTCCGCTCCCACGCCACGTCCAGGACGAGATGGCGCGCCGGGCCACTCGCCTCCCCTTGGCCCAGCGACGGAGCGCGAGGTGAGTTGAGCTCAAGTGCCTACCTGGATACATATCACATACCTCGATAGATTCGCATGTCTGTACTTACTTGCATGCATGTGTATTACCACCTACTTTGCCGGCTCCTGGCGCCCCGGTACCAAAGTTACGCGAAGTCCAAAGTTACGCGAAAATCACAAGTAGCAGGCACGGCGGGCTCCAGAACGCAGCTAACAGAGCACTGTTAGCTCCCGCGACACCTGTCCACAGCCCACAGTCCAATCCTCCAGGGGCAATTGGTCGCTGGCTGCATATCTCTACAACACAAGTGGAGCGCCCGTCTCGGACTCCTTGGCCGCCCGCGCGCACACTGCACAGCTTGTCGGGGAGATTGACTGTTGATTGGCGCTTGCCCGCTTTCACGTCTAAACCCTGAATATCTCTGCTTGGGCGCACCACACCGCTCCCCCCGTCAATTGTTTCTGGTCTGCGACTCTGCCCCCCGCAAACACTTCTCCCTGCCTCTGCCGTCCGTCTCTTTGCCATTGTGCATCCCAATGGCTGCTGGTTGCTGAGATACACCCCCACTGCCCTCACCACGCTCACTACCCAGCATCCAGTTCCTTAGACCGGTCCCCACGCCCGTTGCTTCTGGTACAGCACATTCGCTGTCTCGCAACAAGGGAACTGGGACGGCACCCCAACCGCTTCCGCCAGACCATCCACTTCCACACCAATCGCACGCCATTAATTCGCTTTTCGCTATAATAAATCCTTACCAAACTCTTTTCCTCATCGCCCCAGTTCTTTCCCACGTTTAGAGACACCGCCCTCCCCCCCAAAAGGGAGCCCAGCATGGCGGCCAAAGCCACCATGCCACCTGCCATCGGTACGCCACAAAAGTCGCACACAGCAAATATCCAAGCCGAGAAAGCACCCACGGCGCCCAAGAAGCGAAAGATGCAGCCAAAGAAGGCCGACGATGAGGGGCTCCTGGCCACACTATGCACGCTCATCTCCGACCATCAGATTGGTATGTCTCTTCCCCAGCATCTCAACACTCCTGCGGCCCCTTTCAAAGCTAACTTGGACCAGGCATATCTGTCAACCTCCTCACTCTCCTCACCTTAACACATTTTTTCTTTCCCCGCGCCCGAAGCCGGACCAACAAGTTTTTCCACATGTCCTACTATAACTCCGAAACTGGTATGTATGGATGTGGAACCGACGACCTCCCCTTTGTCTTCCTGTGGACCATCATTTTCACCGGACTCAGAGTCGCCGTTATGGAGTATATGTTGAATCCACTGGCTAGGCTTGGGGGCATTAGGACAAAAAAGGGACTCAGTCGATTCAAGGAACAGGCTTGGTTAATTGTCTACTATACCTGTTCTTGGTCTCTCGGAATGGTATGTTTACTCTACGGCAGAGGTATGGCGGATCAGGGGTGCTAACAAGACAACAGTACATCATGTATCACTCCGAGTTCTGGCTCAACCTACACGGCATCTGGGAAGGTTGGCCCTTCCGAGAGGCTGACGGCCTCTTCAAATGGTACTACCTCGTCCAATGGGGTTTCTGGATCCAGCAGATTCTTGTCGTCAACATTGAGGAAAAGCGCAAGGACTACGCGCAGATGCTGTCTCACCATTTATTCACGACCGCTCTCATGGCTCTGTCGTACGGATACTTCCACATGCGTGTCGGCATCGTAATTCTTACAATCATGGACTTTGTCGACATTGTATTGCCAGTAAGACGATCCTCCTCGAGCAAGCGATTTCGTGACTAATCATTGCAGACTGCCAAGCTTCTTAAGTACATGGGCTACACGAATGCATGTGATTATGTTTTCGGACTCTTTGTTATCTCCTGGATAGTCACCCGCCACGTCCTTTACATGATGGTCTGCTGGTCCATCTACGTTTATGCACCCCTCGACATGGAACCCGGCTGCTACCTCGCTGACTCCACGTCAAAACAAACCTCGTTTGTTCCCATATCAAACACCTCGCAATTTGAAGCTCTTGGAGGCAATAACCACTGGGGAAACCTTCTCAAGGCATACAATGACCGCAACGGACCCATTTGCTGGAACCCACAGATTCGATACTATTTCCTGGCGCTCCTCCTTACCCTGCAAGTATTCTGCTGCATCTGGTTTGCAACCATTTCCAGAATCGTGTACACTGTAGTCAGGGGAAATGCTGCAGAAGATTTGCGTTCAGATGACGAGGGTGAAGATGAGGAGATTGAGGAGGATCAGACCAACACCATTTTTAACATGGCAACCACATGCGCTGAGTCGGGCATGAGCTCCCTGCAGCCAAAGGAGGAGGAAGTCGGCGTTGACGCTCTGACGTTTGCTCGCATGAATGGTGCCAGCCAGCGACGACAGGCCAGGAGGGAGAGCGCACGAGCAAGTGGCATCAGCATTCCGGGACATGGTGATCGCAAGGAGCTGTTGGGTCGCATTGGCTGTGATAAGCCTTCCTAAGCTCTAGTCGTTATTCTTTTGACAAATTTTATGGCGTTTTGGCGTGTAATGTGGTGAGGTGAGAGGAGTCCGTGTTTCCATTATTGTCGGATCGCATGGCTTTGCACATGTCGCTGGATATGTATACCCTACTAGAAGACGAGTGTAGAATTTTTCCTCTACCATCGCTTTTTTTTCGAGCAATGACCAGCCTTGCTCATACACGTGTACAAAAGAATTTTGATATGCATTTGTGACAGATTTGCGTTGGTTATGCTGAACATGAAGTGAAGTTGTTCTGTCATCCTCGGCTTGTTCTGATATGATGGTGGGGCTATCAAACCGACCTCGGACAAGAACGACGGACGCTAGACGCGCACTATGTTTGGGACTACAAAGTACTACTAGTCAATGTAGCTCTGTGACACACTGATACCCATCACTTATGCCAAAAGACCTTTTCATTCTCGAAAAAGAACCGTTACTCCGTTCGATGCTGGATCAGTAGCACCTTTACACACATCCTGCACTCAGGACTACACATACACACATGTGACAACCCTCTGTAACACACCAACGTCATTTCACCAACCATGTCCACGGAACCCACTCAGCCCCTCCCCAACCCCCCCTTCTACACCATCCCCAACATCAACAACCTCCGCGACGCATCCATCTCTCTCCAAACCACCTCAGGCTCCAGCGTCCGCCCCAACATCCTCTTCCGCAGCGCTGAAGTCTCCAAGCTCGACTTGGCCGGCTGGAAAACCGTGCACTCCCTCGGGGTATCCCACGTCTTCGATCTCCGCTCCAAACCCGAAGTCGACAAGGGCTGGGCCGGCATCGTCGGCAAAGATGCCTCGGGCGACAACGACGTGCGGCCGGGTTGGCTGCAGGCAATGGAGCAAGCGGGCGTAGCGCGCTCGTGGGTTCCCGTGTTTGAAGAGAGTGATTATTCGCCTGAGCGACTGGCAGAGCGGTATTCAAAGTACATGGATGAGGCGGTTACGGGGTTTGTCGAGGCGTATCGAGATATTTTGGCAAATGGGGGTCCGGCGTTTGGCAAGATACTGAGGTATCTTGCGGGTATTTCGGTGCCTTCTTCTTCTTCTTCTTCTTCTTCTTCTGTAGAGGAAGGGGGGAAGGTTGTTGGGGCACTGGTGCATTGTACGGCGGGGAAAGATCGGACAGGGATTTTTTTCGGGCTGCTGTTCGACTTTCTTGGTGTGCCACGCGTGCAGATTGCGGATGAGTACCAACTTACTGAGCTGGGGCTTGCACATATTCGTGAGGAGGTTGTGAGGAGGTTGATGCAGAGTCCGGGGTTTAAGAAGTATATGCTGGCGAGTATGGAGGGGACGAAGCTTTCGGTCGAAGATATTGCGAGGAGTCTAAAGGGCGAGGATGGACAGGATCAGGTTCAAGTGCCGCCCGAGGTGCTGGAGAAGGGAAGGCAGGCGGCACTACGGATGATTGGGGCAAGAAAGGAGAGTATGTTGAAGAGTTTGGAGATGCTAGATGAAGTGTTCGGGGGTGCGGAGAGGTATTTGAGGGAGAAGTGTGGGCTAAGTGATAAGGAGTTGGATGCGTTGAAGAACAATCTTTTGGTAGAGGGACAAGTAGTCCAGGGACATGTGAAGAATGGCTCTCTTTGAGCGATAGATTAGAGGCTTGGACTTAGACAGATAGAAATCACGCGTAGATACAGTCTTGTAAGTACAAAAGACATACCAGGTATTTGCAATAACGCTACATACACCAATTATCGCCCAATGTGGTAGCTCTTTTTCACTTGTCCTAAGCACAATCTCATTGCTTTAGGCTATTAACGTATATATCTACTTAGCTTCAACCGCGCATGCATCGCCACAAGGCTGCTTCGTTTCCTCACTGTGATCCAAGGTCTTAGCCTCGACCCCAATCAGGCGCGCCAACTCTGAGATATTAGTATGATCCACAGTGTTTTGCATGCGATACATGTACTCGCATTTACCATCTGTAAATCCCATGCATAAGTTTCTTAGGTTTTCATCGTTTTGGAGGACGGTTGACTTACCTGCGGAAATGATTACTTCTCCACCATTTAACGCCTTGGGTCCGACCTGGTTCACATGTTGAATGTTAGCCACTGCACCCTTGATGCCGCCCCAGATCCTGGATGCAGTGCTTCCTGCATCGCGCATGTAGTCCTTCTGCTCATCGCCGACTTTGGCCTCAGCTAGGTTGTACTTGAAGCCAAAGATGTTGTGTAGACGGAGCGAAGGATCCGTGTAGATGGGATAGGCAGATGCTGATTTCACTGCATATGTGTCGATGGGTTGGTAAGAACCGCAGCCGATTGCCAGGACTTGTCGGATCTTTTAGTTTGGTTCTACGTTGGGGATGTAAGACGTACTTTGAGTAGAAGGGGGAAGGTCAGACGGGGGTATTGATTCGCTGATGCATCGGAGATAGGCTTGGCAATTTAGACACCCTTTTAAAATTTGTATCAGTGTTTATGTACCTTGCAAAATCATAATTATTCTCGCGTTGTTAACAATAGTGCGAAGCCATAAGCGTAGGAAACGGGTCCAGTGGGGCTGTGGCGCGATCCAAACATTGCTTTTACAACATTATGCATACGCATATGGACTTACAGAAATGCCTAGTAAATATCAAAACACTTTGTTTTCCTTTGACCAGATCTCCTAGAATGTGAGTTTTCCCTTCGCGATCATAAACCTCGATCTTGAGCGCCTCTGACAGTTCGGCAGCGGTCGGTAAGCTCGTCGGACTGGAGGCGTCTGAAGGTGCATCAGAAGAAGCCATGTCTTACGTTGAAATTACGGGTTTTGATGAAATACTGCTGTCGAGGTAGCTGCGCTTCTGTCGTGAAGTAAGACAATTTGGGATGGGTGGTGACGTGTGGAAGGTCACCTTTTGGAGGTAGCTACAGATGGCAGGTCATGCCCGACACCAACTTCGAGTTTTCTAGAATAGGTGTAATTTTAGTCAAATATATACAAATCCATCCTAAGAAATCGATTAAAACTAGTGCCAAGTCGTGCAGTCTACGCGCTACAGAGCTAGAAGCTGGTAAAGTAGCTAATTCGAACACGTTTCACTCACGAAAACAAAAAGACACAGACCACCTAGCTGCTTACTAAGAAAGAGCTTAGTAAGAAGCTTACTAAGAATGCCGCCAGAAAGCGACACTATACGAGTTAATACTCAAGAAAATAGACAGGAAAGCCTAGGTCTAGAGGCTCAAATCGACAGAGAAATGGACGTAGAGTCCCCACCAGCCACGCCCACCCAACCAGCCAGCCAAGCTAGCTTATTTGAGCTGCCAATACTACCACCAAACAAACGGCAAGCCAACTTCTCACCAGAAATATCCCAGCCAGCCCGAAACCTATTCCTAAGCCAAAGCAATCAAAAGCCAACAGCTAAGAACGCGCAACAAGCAATTCAGTGGGCTAGAGACCTTATACTCCAGGCCTCTATAATGGCAGATTCCCACGTAGCTCAAAATAAGCTACTAGAGCTACTCGACGTCTTTAGAGACTATACTGAAACAGGCAGAGTAG